GATAAGGAATCCAAGCAATCCACCCAGACACCGAGAGCACCAGTCATTTTCAGCATCAAGAAATTCATGCTGAGAGCCTGAGCCCTGCTCACTTTTTCCTGCCTGGTCACAGAAAACAGCAACGATCTGCAATGGGCAGGGACCTGCTGTTCCACACGGGCGAGACCGTGGATCTCTGGGTCTGAGCCTACCTCCAGCTCCTTTATCTGGTCCAGCAGGCGCTGCAAGGGCATGTTCTTGTCACAGGAGTACTTCTTCCTGATGGAGTCTTGCAGGCCCTTCAGGTAGGCCTCCGTCGACTGGGCCTCTTCAAAAAACTAATTTGAACAAGAATAATTCCATGTCAATAAAAAGGCACAATAAATCCAGAAAACGAAGCCCATCACCATTGAGTTTATTCTGTTTCATGGCAGCCCATCTGAGCCACAAAGCAGAACAGTTCAGTGGGGTTTTCTCGGCCACAGTCTTCACAGAAGCAGACTGCCAGGACTTTCTTCCATGGTTTCAGGATCGACTCAAAGTACCCCCACCTTGAGAGTAACTAACACCAACCAAACCCACTGCCATTGAGGGGATTCAAACTCATGGGTTCCCTATATAAGATTTCTAAGACTGTAAATCTTCACAGGAGCAAATAGCTTCATATTTCTCTTATGGAGAAGCTGGTGGATTTGAACCACTGACCTTGAAGTTAGCTTTCTTGGTTAATGGTTGACCACAAACCATTGGCCATGAATTAAGTGGGCAGGCAAGATTATCCCTCTGTGACAGGGTTCTCTTGATAAAACTTAAGTATGCTTTTTCCCAAAGGAATGTTCATGTTTTCTAAAGGAATTTTCATGCCACCCAGGAAGGGACTCCAATAAGCAATATCTTCTAGTATTTTTTTTCTTTTTTTAAATCGTTTTATTAGGGGCTCATGCAACTCTTATCACAATCCATTCATACATCAATTGTGTAAAGCACATTTGTACATTCATTGCCCTCGTCATTCTCAAAACATTTGCTCTCCATTTAAGCCCCCGGCATCAGGTCTTCGTTTTTCCCCCTCCCTCCCCCCTGCCCCCTCCCTCATGAGCCCTTGAAAATTTACAAATTATTATTTTGTCCTATCTTGCCTTGTCTTTTAGTATTTCTATTAAAAAAAGATCTATGTAATAAGTGCTAACGGAAAATCCCAGAGAAGAAAATATATTAACCTATTCCAGTGGCTTGTGACCAGGTTGCAAATCTATACTTCTCTAACTTACAACCAATAACCCACTACCATCAGTCAGTCCATTCCAACTCAGAGTGACCCTAAAGGACAGAGTAGAAATTCTCCATAGGGTGTGAGATGATAACCAATAGTGTTCTTTATGTAATATTTGAGTCATATTTTTTTTTAGTGATGTCGAATGCCCACACAAAACCTGAAACATAGTGGAACTGAACGATAAGCATCCATACCTGAAAGTAGGCAGCATTTTCTTTGAGGTGAACATCAATACATTTGGTGATCTGAAGAATCCAGCTCCACTGGGTCTGCAGAGTATCCATATAGGCCTGAAAAGAGACAGCGCTGTCGGTCACCACCCCCCACCAGTCAGTAGTACACTGCTGTCAAGTCCCACCCAGCGTGTGTGTCAGAGTAGAACTTAGCTTCATAGGTTTTCTTTTCTTTCTTCTTTATAACTTTTTATTGTGATCTGGATGGACATTTACAGCAGTGTTTCCCAAAGTGGGCGATACCACTCCCCAAGGGACCTGCACAAGTAGATACTTACCCTTTATATTAAATGATACGCTGAAACACACGTTTTTAATGGGCATGGGGTGCTGGGTATTTTTTTTACTCTCTCTTTCCAAAAAGTAGGCAGTAGGCTAAATGAGTTGAGGGCCTGTGGCAGTGGTTCTCAACCTGTGGGTCACGACCCCTTTGGTGGTCTAACACTTTCACAGGAGTCGCCCGATTCAAAACAGTCGCAAAATTACAATTATGAAGTAGCAACAAAAATGTTATGGTTGGGGGGGTCACCACAACAGGGGGAACTGTATGAAAGGGTCACGGCATTAGGAAGGTTGAGAACCACTGACCTACGGTTTATAGAGCAAACTGATTTTTTATTTAAGAATCCACACGCATTTTGTTTGTGACACTGAATCCCATCCCCCCAACATGACAGTCTTCACTTTCTCCTGGTGTTTTACCATTAGTCCCCCCTTTCCTGTCCCTTCCTGCCATCTGAGTTTTATCCTTGGTCAAACATTGCTTCTTGTCTCCTGTGGGTGAGATAGTTCTAGAAGTGTGTACCTCTCTAGTACCTTTATTCACCTGATAGGCCTATCACTGGACTGAAAGTCACGGGCTCTGGTTCCAGGTCCGAAGGGTATCTTAGGGCCTTATTTTTAGGGTTCAGCAGTAATCCATCAGGGCCAGTAAGCCTGTTTTTTGTTTACATGTTTACTGTGGGCCCATGTTTTCTCCCACTCCATTCAGCCACTTCTATTGCAATCCCTTTTAGATCATGATTACTGATAGCACTAGTGTTTCCAGTCTTGGGAAGCCAGGGTTCATGTAATACATAAGTCCCTTGGACTACCCTGTTTTCCCGAAAATAAGACAGTGTCTTATATTAATTTTTGCTCCCAAAGGTGTGCTAGGTCTTATTTTCAGGGAATGTCTTATTTTTCCATGAAGAAGAATACGGGTACGCATTTATTGTTTATTGTTTTATTAAAAGAGACCTCGCACTTCCTGTCTGCTCCGGCTATGCTGTGGCCAACAGTGAGCTGTGCAGTGGCGCCCGCTGCTATGCTCCAGAGTCCAGAGTTACGGTAGCTTCTGGGGGCCTTATTTTCGGGTAGGTCTTATTTTCGGGGAGATGCCTTATATTTCCGTGAGAGGCAAACTGTAAGTAGGTCTTATTTTCAGGGATGTCTTACTTTCGGGGAAACCGGGTAATTGCTTCTTTGTGTCTTTGGTTTTCTCCTCTCTTCTTTGTTCCAGAGAGACAGGCCAATAGTTATGTTTTAGATGGCCACGCACAAGCTTTTCAAAACCTAGTCACTACTCACCACATCGAATGTAGAATATTGACTTTGTGCACTACGTTATATCAGAGGACCCTGCAGCTGTGGTCCTGAGACCCCAGGCCCAGTCATTCCCTCAAAGTACTTGGCTATGTCTAAGAGACTCCAGAGGGTTTTCAATAGCAATAATCTTACGGAAGCAGACCACTGGGCCTTCCCTCTGTGGCACTGCTGTGCAGCATGGAAAAACCATGTTTTAGGATAACAGTTGAGTGGTAAACTTTTGTGCCACCCACAGACCTCATCAACAAGAGTGAGCCCTCTGTATTTGCCAAAGAGAGAGGAGTCTCTTTGAGAACCAATCCTTTTTTGCCCCTTAAACATTAAAAATGGAATTTCCCAACTGAGAAACCCTGGTGTGGTACAAATTAACATTTTAAATCAGCTCTCACAAATACTGTTAGGAGCATTAAGTCATATTTATATACCAAACTGACGGAGCTACTGACCAATCAGAACAAAGACTGGGGTGAATGCGGATGACCCTCTCCCAAATTGTGTTCCTGCAGAGTTGCTGGGTGGTGAGGAGAGCTGAGGCATCTAGAAGCCAGGATGAGGGGCTCAAGGCAGTGGTTCCTAACCAAATTTGTACTTAATAATCAGTACGATTACACCAGCTAATGTCAGTCATGAGAACAGCCTGCAGATGGCTGTTTAAGTCAAGCGTCAGTAAACAAGAGCCTAAGGGCCAAATCACGCCCACTGAATGTATTGTTACGTAACATTTTGGGATTTTTTTTTTAAAAAAATCATTATATTGGGGGCTCATACAGCTCTTATCACAATCCACCCATCCATTCATTGTCTCAAGCACATTTGTACACTTTTGCCATCATCATTCTCCAAACATTTGCCTTCTACTTGAGCCCTTGGCATCAGCTCCTCAGTTAAATAATGTTTACTTGGAGCAAGAGGCACCAGCTGTATACTTCCCGTGGCTGCTTTCGTGATACTATGACAGAGTTAAATAGTTGTGATCGAGAAGGAATGGCCCACCTGTCTAAGCTACTGGTCCTTAACAGGAAAGTTTGGCAACACCTGGTCTAGGCTATTGATCTCAAAAGTTGGCATGGCTTTGTGATGGATGTGCCTTATTCATTTGTATGTTTGGACTTGGTGAAAAGTTTGTCTTTTCCCCCCCTAATAAAAAAAAGCCCACCTCTATCTTGTCTGAAGCTGGATGCTGATTGAGGACGAGCTGGTCACTTTCTTGTTTCAGCTTATTGAGCTCCTTCTCCTTAACTTCTAGTTGACTCATGCGTATCTGTGAAAGGAAGTTCAGACAAACATCTCTGAGGGCAGATCACCGTGAGCCTTGCAGCAATTTCATCATATTGAAAAGAAGTCAGAGGTAAAACTGCATTTTGAATGCGAGAAACAACAAAGAATCATGTAATTTTTTTCCTGATGAAACGAAGAATATTTAATGTTGGGAAGAAATGTTTGAGATCATCCTGTCTGTCACTGAGGCCAGACTAGGGAAATGGGTTTTCCAAGACCAGAGGTGGACGGACATACCACTGTCACCTGCTATCTGGT